CATGTAAGTAAGTTTAGTCTTAATGTGCATCAACGGCTGACAGTTATCCACTAATGTATAGGCAACTAATCAAAACATTAATCATACTTAATCTTTACTTTTGCATCAATATCTTAGAATCGCTTACTAATTACATGCATTAACGGCTGACAGTCACTCACTAAAATATAGACGTCTAATTTAACATTCTTCTTCTTCTTCTTCAAAACTACGCTTATTTCTTTTTGCATGCATTAACGGCCAGAACTCACGACAATTCGCTAACTAACTCATAGGTGCTCTCCAAAAGCATTATCCATTGATCTTATTCATATCATTATCTCATTCTTCTTGTAGTAATTATATGATATCCTAGAGACATATAGAGGGTGTGTGTACATGCATAACTGAAGCTTTGATTTGTAGGGTTTTGCTTCCATAAAAGTTTTGTGCAACCAACGTGGCTTGGTGACTTTGTTTCAAGTCATCAATTGCTTTTGCTCACAAAAAAAGCGGATCAAAATTTCTGGAAAAAGCAAAGTCCCATTGCGTTTGCCAGATTTCTATATCCCTAGCTATTGTTTAACTTGCAAGAAGAGACTCATGCTCTGAATTACACTCCAATTCCAACAATGCATGGTGACCCTAACGTAGAAAACACCCTCTCTCTCTCTCTCTCTCTCTCTCTCTCTCTCTCTCTCTCTCTCTCATCAATTTAAACCTTCATTCTTGACTATCCTTTTAAATTAGATAAATCCTTTTAATTAGTATTTGATTGTTATCTAACGGTCAAAGCCTTCAAAGCTTGTTTTTGGTGTGGCCTCTTTTGGGGGGCTAATTCTGGACACCTTTTTTGAATCATTTATAATAATCCATTATCCCTTTTTGAAAATAATTCATTTAAAAATATCCCTTTCGGCACAAGAGTCTAAACAATATCACTTCCCACTAATTTAGACTTTGAAAACCCTGGCTACCAATAAGAATACATGATGATCAAACCTAAATTCGATCCCTTTTCCAATCTCTTCGTTTCTGCCAATTTTGCATAACTTGTAAATAATTCTATGCTCATAAGGCAACAAACTACATAGTCATGGTAACCATCTCTATTTTGATTGATGCATCTTTATTCTCGGAATTTAGGATAATAAAACATTATCAATTTTATGGAAAGAGTTGAACTCTCTCTCTCTCTCTCTCTCTCTCTCTCTCTCTCTCTCTCTCTCTCTTCTTTTTTTGAATGAAAACATGAGTTTTGTTTTCGATAGTCCAGCTTACCAAATCTTCACTGTTTGATTTTTTTGAGTCAAATTTTCACCTTTGATTCTCAAACCTGCTTAATAATTCTGAACTATGAAAGAAAAATTGGAAAACATGTATGAAAGGAAAAAATTTCGAGAAAAGTAGATTAATTCTGCTAATGGAGGCATATGCATATCAATTATAACTATTGATGAGTGGACAACTACTTTTTCAGGTTCCTTAACTAGTGTTATGATTAAACCACGCTTGAGCTCTAACACTCTGAGAGTTTGATAAAATTTTATAGAAACAAATAAATTAATTTCTAACCTTGTTTCAACTTCATATATGAACTATCTGATAGTTACATGCAAAACCAGTCGGTAATTACAAGCGATAATATTAGTATTTAAGTTACACTAAAGAATGTACAAAGATTTGAATTTGAGACGAAGTAAGTTAAACTCGATCATAGTGCTCCTAGTTGTACTCGTTGTTTTTCTCTTTAATGTTATTTTTTGGTAGAAAAAAATAAGTTAAAAAAAATATTTACTAAAATAATCAACCACTTGCAAATACTTGATAAATTTCTTACTAACTCTAGCATTGTTGTTTCATAAGGGGCCATACATTTATAGAACCAATGAAATTAAAAAGTGGGTCAATTATTTGTTAATCATTTCACATCTTATGTGTTTCTCAGCATCTAAACCATTTAAAATATGATTAGGAGACGTGTTAAAAACGTAGTGTTTCCTACTAGCGTCCTATTTATTTGTGTATCTTAGATGTAATGTTTGGCATGCAACACAATGTCACTCTCTCGGTACTTATAAGGATTGAGGGTGTGGACATAACTAGAATTGACAATTAAAATTAATACCATCTTTTGGTCATTCTCTTTTACTAATTAATTTTCACACTTACTATCACTGGACTAACCCAATGATTTACGTAATATCACCTTTCTTATCCTCACTAATGCATACAAAACAAATCAACTATGTTACAACAGAACTGTTATTCATTTACCATAAACATATCAGCTCGTTTGTGAGTGCTTATAAAATAACCGAAATTGTTGGTGAAATTGATTTTAGGTTCCAAAAGCACTTCAAGTGTTTTTATTTTTATTTTTATTTTTTTATGTAATAAGCACCGGGTATATGTTTCTTATAGGAAGCACTTCAAGTGTTTTTTCAAGATCCAGTTGGATTTTTACTAAGGGTTGGTTTCAAAAACATTTTCAGTCATTTTAAAAGCATTTCCACGTGAGTCTTATATATCGTTTTTAAAATAATATAAGTTGGAATTCCTTCATATAAGTTGGTAAGAGTTAATAGAATTTTTTTTTACAAATGATCCTTTATGTTTTGTCAACTCATTGTTTGGTCCTTGATGTTCTAAACTCATCAATTTCATTTTCATCGTTCATCTCTTGCTTTGGTCAGTTCTTGTCGCCTAACTGCGTCGACTCATTAGTTTAGTCCTTTATGTTCCAAACTCATTAATCTAAATGGCATCATTTAATTGACTTTGTGGACCCTATATGACTGCCACATCAGCACACTAATAACGGATTATTAACGAAGGTGGACAACAAAGACAACATTAATGACCAAAGCAAGAGATGAGAAACGAAATTGATGAGTTTGAAACATAAAGAACAAAACTATGAGTTGACATAACATAAAAACCATTCGCGATAAAAATCCGAGTTTATTGTAGTTCGAAGTTCAATGCCTAGTAGAGTTGCTATAAAAATGAAGAATAAGGATCTCCTCCGGATCCTCTTTGTGAGGATTCAGGGGATCCGTGTATTTTGTCAGTTCATCGTACATCGTGCGGTCATAAAGTATTTTAAATTTTATTATTTAAATTGAACATAATCAGTTTTTGAAAAAAACTAACGACATGATATATAATGAACGGATACGATTTATGAATCTTCGGAATCCTCACTACGATGATCCGGATTCCAAAATGAAATGTTGGGGTGTATTCTTCATGAAATACACATGGTCCTCCAATCAGAAAAAAGAACAAAAAATACACGCTGTCCATTATATGGCGAATATTAATAGTCGCGTGACGAATGACGACCGTCCTACCTTTGCTGCCGCACCGCCCTCCTTTTGACACTGTCGTTTCTGCTAAGTACTAGAAAGATTCTCGTCTCCTTTCCCTGGCTATTTACCATAATGCCCTTTCATTTTGTTTACAAAATATTTTCTTAATCAAAATTATTACTGTTTAGAAATTAGAAACCATAAATAAATCAACGGCTAACTTACCCAAAAAAAAAAAAAAAACAACGGCTAGTAAGTCCGTTTGTGGAGAGATTTAATCATTTAAAGATGAAAAATATGTGTATCATATTAGATTCTATATAAGCACCTATGTATTTATTTAAGGCAGATTTGTTTTTCCAAATATGCAAGGAAAAACAATAATGCATATGCATCTTCGTGCATGTTCAATCCCTAACGATCCCTCATTTTCACTCACATTTAACAATTTAACTTACCAATGTTATCATTTGTAAAAGAAAAACTACAATATATGATCTTCATAATACTAGAATTCCAACTTGTGTCTTGAGTTTGACAAAAAAGTCGGGAGTGAGCTAAAAGTTGGAAGTTCAAGCATGGAAATCCATTTTTTTTACGTTGTTTGGCAACTTTTACGCTAAAAACTAGAAATTGACGCACATAATAATTTACCATAATGAAATGATCAAATTTTTGAATTTGATAACCTTAAAGTAGTCATATATTCTCCAAATCCCACCGCACGTAAAGATAATGCAATAGTCTCATTAAGCAAATAAAATTGTATTTATGCCGTTTAAAGTCAGCAGATTCGGTTATAAAAAATAAAAAAAACAATAATGGTTAATTTATGGAAATTACTTTAGTCTAAAATTTATATTGCTTATTAGACAACTTATTTGCCACATAGTATATAATATGAAATAAGGATGATATGCATGGTCACATCCAACCATCCTTTTGTCTTTGTCTACAATTTTTAATACCTCATAGACATATCTAAAATCCCTTTTCTAATCAAGGAGACAACTAAGATGTGTGTGATAGAAGCAAAAGAACAATGAAATAATAAAAGAAATATGGAAGCCTCTTGATAATTTGCCAACAGAATCCTTTTCGGATTCTCTTTGTGAGGATCTTAGAAATTTGTAAATTGTGTTTAGTCATCGTACATTGTGCGGTCATTTTTGTCAAGTATTGTTTGTATTCAATTTTAAATAAACAAAATTAAAATGATTTATAACCGCACGATGTATAATGAATGAATACGATTCACGGATTCTTAGGATCCTCACATGGAGGATCTGGAGAGCATCCGGATTCAATAATTTGGTAGAGAAATACTAAAGAGACTCTTTTAAAAGCAAGATTCTCTATAGACCTCTGTTAATTCATGTTTTTTGCATGATTATTTATAATATTAGCATGATAATTGACGTTAAATTGTTAGATAACAGAAAGTTCATAAAAAAATTGCACTTAAAGAGAATCTTCTTAACATTTCCATGTTGGTAACACCGTCTTAAAAACATGCACAAAATCATAGTCAAACATCAACAAAACCCAGGAAAAAAAAACGTTTTTGGTTTTGTAATTGCAAGGGCATTTTAGTCATTCCACCCGTTCTCAGTCATTCTCTTGAGAATCAGTGGGTTTTGGGGGGTTTTACTATTAGAAAAGGAACCGCATATGCTCTAAAGATTTTTCCAAAATCAAAGTGAAAAAATCGAACAAAAAAACCGAAATTGGAAACAAAAATCCGAAAAATAATGGATTAGAAAAGCATTAACTTTAGCTTTTACCGTTTGTTATGCAGTCGATGTTTTTATTGTTTCCGGCCTCTCCACCAACCTTTATCTTTGTTTTACTTCCTCTTTAAACAGTGGAAAAACCACAGCATAAAAGGCAAAAGCAGGACGCAGTGAGAGAGAAAACAGAGGAAGCAATTTCTGAGACGGAGACGTAGCGGTCTAACAACCATGGGGTGAGAAAAGAGTAAAGCAGAAGCAGCTGGTACGGGAAGTGCTGATTAAGGAAGAAGAGAAGTTGTTTTGATTGATCGTTTTTGCCTCTGGGTAATTTTGTTTGATCCTGTTTTTTTGCCTGCTGAGAAAATCATGCCATTGTGTGTATCTTCATGTAAGAATGCGTTTTGTGGTTGATTTGGGCTTGATCCTCCTACCATGACTTTGTTTAACAAAATTTTCAATTTTTGGTTTCTGGGTAATTAAAAGTTTGATCCTTTTGTTTTTCTGTAATTATTTTCTAAGGAATTGGTTTGGTTTTTTATTGTTATGGATGATCACTGTAGTTTTTTTTGCTTCAAAGTTTGGTGATTCTATTAAGCTTGTGAATTTGTTGGGTTTTTTTACTGAATTCTGACCTTCTGTCTTTTGGGTTTGTCTTTGATCAGGTATTTTTGTAGAAAATTAGTTCATATCAGTCAATTTTGGCATGTGATTTCGGACCGGAGTTTTACTGATCAGGTAATTGCTTGCTTTTTGTGATCTTTCTTGTTTATTACACGTTCTTGACAATCTGATCTCACCCACCATGTTGTTTTATATTCTAATTAATCTGGTTTTTAATTGTGGATTTTGGTGATTAGGCGTGATCGTGTGAGAAGTTGAGAGTATACGAAGCTTCATCCAGAATTACTGAATTCTGGTGGTTTAGAGCCTAGTTATCAGGCCCCTTGTTGAGTTTATTCATCTTGGTTTCGGTTTTTATTCGTTTGTGGATCGGAAAAAAAATCAGTATCGAAGGTGGTGCTGTTATTGGCCAGAGTTATGGCTACTGCGTCGCAGGCAGACTCTAGACGCAAGTATTCTTGGTGGTGGGACAGCCACATAAGCCCGAAGAATTCAAGATGGCTTCAGGAAAATCTTACAGGTATACATTATATAACTGGTTTGGTTTGCTGTGTTTCTCATATATGTGGAGTGAAGCAATGCTCTCTCGCCGGACATCATAAGTTTTTTTTATCATGTCAACTGCATTGCATATTGTGACATGATTTTTACTTCTTCCTATCAAGAAATGTTCATAATGAATAACGAATTCTCTTTTCCTAAACTGTTACATCATCAAATATGGAATATTGGATGGCTAAGAAGTGGAACTCAGACCTTATTTAAGTTAGTTTGAATAGTGTAAATATGTATGTTTGTAAATTCCCAATTTCTGTTATTGACTGCTCGATGAGACGTCAGTGTGGTAGTACCGGGCTTGTAAACTGCAGTGATCCTGATTTGTCAACAAGATGATCACAATACTCGCAGTTTGATTTCATGCATCTTTCCAGTTGATATTTTATCTTTTCGATTTTCTGTTCATAACAGCAATATTGTTTTCTCTCCCTCCTCCTCTCTTCTATGTATTAGTTGCATACAAAGTTAATTATGTTTTAACTTCTTGAACAGATATGGATGCCAAAGTCAAACACATGATCAAGCTCATTGAATTGGATGCCGATTCCTTTGCTAGGAGGGCAGAGATGTACTATAAACAGCGCCCAGAATTAATGAAATTGGTAGAAGAGTTCTATCGAGCATACCGTGCATTAGCTGAGAGATATGATCATGCAACTGGGGCACTGCGCCAGGCTCATCGAACCATGGCAGAAGCATTTCCCAACCAAGTTCCCTTTGCAATGGGAGATGATTCACCCGCAGGTTCCTCTGCTAGTGAGGCTGATCCCCGTACACCTGAGATGCCACACCCAATGCGGGCATTCTTAGACCTTGATGAATTGCAAAAAGATGCTCCGGGAATCTCTTCATCCCATTTCCTCAGTGTCAAAAAGAATGGAGCTTACACCAATGAATCTGACTCTGGAACAAGCAGAACGGGCTTGAAACAGCTGAACGATCTATTTGGGTCTGGAGAAGGAAGGGCAAAAAAAGGCCTCAATTTTCATGATGAAGAAGAAAAAGACCGTATGCGGGACAATGAGACCCATAACATCAAGGCTCGATCATTGTCCGAGTCTGATCGACTAGGTAAAGCAGAGACAGAAATTTCAAACTTGAAGGAGGCCCTTGCTAAATTAGAAGCCGAAAAGGAAGCTGGCCTACTTCAGTACCAACAGTGTTTAGAGAGGTTAAATAATCTGGAGTCTGAAGTCGCTCGTGCACATGAGGATTCCAGGGAACTGAACGAGCGAGCCAGTAAAGCTGAAGCTGAAGTTCAAGCTTCGCAGGAAGCACTTGCTAAATTAGAGTCTGAAAGGGATGCTAGCCTTCTGCAGTATCAGCAGTGTTTGGATAAAATCACTAATCTGGAGGACAGTATCTCTTGTGCCCAAAAGGATGCTGCAGAGCTCAATGATCGCGCAAGTAAAGTTGAAACTGAGGCTGGAACTCTAAAGCAAGATCTTGCAAAGGTCGTAGCTGAGAAAGAAGCCGCACTTGCACAATATCAACAATGTCTAGAAATGATATCAAATCTGGAGGAAAAAATACTGCATATTGAGGAGGATACAAGAAGAATTAATGAGCGAGCTGTTAAAGCCGAAGGTGAAGTTGAAACCTTGAAGCAAGCAATTGCCAAGTTAAATGAAGAGAAGGAAGCTGCTGCTCTCCAGTACCGGCAGTGCTTGGAAACCATATCTACTCTGGAGCATAAGATAGCTAGTGCCCAAGAGGAGGCCCAGCGGCTACACTCTGAAATAGATGATGGGATTGCAAAGTTAAGGGGTTCTGAAGAAAAGTGTATTCTACTGGCACAATCAAATCAGACGCTCCAATCTGAGTTGGAGTCTTTGGTGCAGAAAATGGAATCTCAGGGTGAAGAACTGATTGAGAAGCAGATGGAGTTGGGCAGACTCTGGACTTCCATACGAGAAGAGCGTTTGCGATTCATGGAGGCTGAAACTGCTTTCCAGACACTGCAGCATTTGCATTCTCAATCCCAGGAGGAACTTAGATCTATGTATTCTGAACTTCACAATGGAGCTTTAATTATGAAGGACATGGAAATGCGTAATCAGGTTTTGGAGGACGAAGTCCAGAATTCGAAGGAGGAAAACAAGAGGCTGAGTGAGCTCAATCTGTCTTCATCCATGTCAATAAAAAATCTGCAAGATGAGATCTTAATCTTGAGGGAGACAATTAGAAAACTTGAAGAGGAACTCGGACTCCGAGTAGACCAAAGAAACGCTCTCCAGCAAGAGATATACTGCCTGAAGGAGCAACTCAATGGCTTGAACAAGAAACACCAAGTTATGCTAGAGCAGATAGAGTCAGTTGGCTTGAATCCAGAGTGCCTTGCGTCATCTGTGAAGGAACTGCAGGGTGAAAAATCACAGCTAGAACAGATGTGTGAGGCTGATAGAAGTGAGAAAGCGGCACTGTTAGAAAAGTTGGAAATCATGCAGAAACTTATGGAGAAAAATGTTCTTTTGGAGAGTTCCCTTTCTGATTTGAACGTTGAGTTAAAAGGTGTTAGAGGGAAGGTAAAGGAGTTGGAAGAATCATGTCAATCTCATCTGGAGGAAAAAGGTACAATTGCTGCTGAAAATGCCGCCCTACTTTCCCAGTTACAAATTATGACCGAGAACTTGAAGAAATCATCGGAGAATAACAAAATTTTGGAGAATTCCCTTTGTGATGCAAATGCTGAACTTGAAGGCTTGAGGGTAATATCAAAGAGCTTAGAAGAGTCCTGTCTATTGCTTGATAACGAGAAGTCTGGTCTGACCAAGGAGAGAGAAAATGTAGTTTCTGAGTTGGGCGCTACTCAGCAAAGACTGGCAGGTCTGGAAAAGGGATATACAGAAGTAGAAGAGAAACTCTCTGCTCTTGAGAAAGAGAGAGAATCCGCACTTCGTAAAGTGGAAGAGCTACATGTTTTCTTAGATTCTGAGAAACAAAAACATGCCAGTTTTGTTCAGTTGAGTGAAACCCAGATGGCTGGTATGGGATTGCAGATCTCTCGTCTCCAAGCAGAAGGCATGTGCATGAAGAAAGAATATGAAGTGGAACAAGACAAAGCTATGAACGCGCAGATTGAAATCTTTGTCTTGCAGAAATGCATAAAAGATCTGGAAGAAAAGATCTTGTCCCTCCTGATTGAGCGTCAAAAGCTGTTGGAGGCATCCAAAATGTCAGAGAAACAGATTTCTGACCTAGAGCATGGAAATCTTGAGAAACAGGTGGAGATTAAATCTTTCCTTTTGCAAACGAAAGTACTGAGAATGGGGCTGTATCAGGTGTTTAAGACTCTTGACGTGGAGGCAAACCTCAGTTGTGCAGGAGAGGTTGAGCAAGACGAAACACTTCTTAACAACATTCTTGTCAAACTTCAAGAGACGCAAAATTCTCTCTCTGAAACTTGTGATCAAAATCAGCAGTTGGTTATTGAGAAGTCAGTTCTCATAGAAATGATTGACCAACTAAAACTAGAGGCAGCAAATCTTATGAGAGAAAGAAACACCCTGGACGGAGAGTTCAAGAATCAGTCTGAGAAGCTTGTGGTGTTACAGAGTGGGGCCCAAAGACTTGAGGAGAATAATGAAGAATTGAAGTTGAAAGTAGAGGAGGGAGACCACAGAGAGCAAGTGTTGAGGACTGAAATAGATGATCTGCATGAGCAGTTCTTGGACTTGCAAAGTGCATACAACGATGTATTGGAAGAGAATGGCAAGATGCTTGTAGAGAAAGGAGCTTTGACAAAGATGGTATCGAATTTGTGGGAAGAGAATCGTGACCTCGAAGAGGAGAAATGTGTCATGTTTGGTGAAACGATATATCACAATAACTTTTCACTTGTTCTCAAAGATTTTATTTCAAGAAAGCTGCTGGAGCTGGAAGAGCTCACTGACTATTTAGATAAACTACATCTTGGAAAGAATGACCTGGAAGATAAGGTAAGGATATTGGAGGGGAAGTTAGAAGATACACGGATGGACAACTTACGGCTCAAGGAGTCATTGAATAAGTCCGAGAATGAGCTGGAGTTGGTTAAATCTGTTAATGATCAATTGAATGGTGAAATTGCAAATGCAAAGGATGCGTTGTACCATAAAGAAAATGAGCTTTTGGAAGTACATCAGGCCATCAGTGTGCTACAGAATGAGAGCCAAGAGTTGCATGCGTTAGTGGAGGACATGAATGGTAAGTATGGTGAGGCTAAGGTGGCACTACAAGATCAAGAGAAGCAAATTCTCAAACTCTCTGCAGACAATGAACTTCATATCAAAGAGACTGGCAACCTTTGTGTAGTGAATCAGGAGTTGGAGTCAGAAGTGCAGAAAATGCAGCAAAAAGCTGAAAAAACTAAAATCAAAGAGGAAGGTTTGATCAATGAACTGCAAAAGGAAAGACAAGAGATAGAAATGTGGTTGTTTCAGGCTGCCACATTATTTGGCGAACTGCAGAGTTCCAACATTCGTGAAACATTGTTTGAAGGAAAGATTCACGAGCTCATTGAAGCATGTCAGATCCTCGAAGACAGAAGCAATTCCAGAGGCATCGAGAACAAAATTTTGAAAGAAAGAGTTTGCGCATTGGAAGACGAAAATGGAGGGCTACAAGCTCAGTTGGCTGCATATATTCCAGCTGTCATCTCTTTGAAGGAGTGTATAACATCACTTGAGAAGCATATACTTGCAGACACCGGTTCTTGTAAACTTGACACTGAAGAATCAAAGGTAACTTTTCATGTCCGTTTACATATTACCTATGGAAATTGAAAGTTTCAATTGTCACGAGCCATTATTTGAACTCATGCTTTATCATCAACATTCATGGTTTATCTCTGGCAAGTTTTACGGAAAGTAAGCCGGTTTCTGTCTAAAGCTTAATTGGCTGGACATGGATTGTTCAGCTTAAGACATGATGACTTTGTTTTATAGTTCAATGGTGGATATCATTTGAAATAACATATTTGTATCCCACTTTATCCAGGATGCCCTTCTGCATGCTGAAAGCTCTCAAATGGATGGAGATCAAACAGCCACAGTATCAGATGGTGTTTTGGACTTGCAGGATTTACAAAGAAGAATTGAAGCTATTGAAAAGGCAGTGGTGGAAAAGGAAGGTCATGTTTCTGCAAATCAGGTTCGTGACATTATGAAGAAGCGTGAAATATCTGGATCAGGGAATGAAGTTCTGACAAAAGACATCGTTCTTGATCAGATATCGGAGTGTTCATCCTATGGGATAAGCAGAAGAGAAACCATAGAGTCTGATGCTCAGATGCTTGAGTTGTGGGAGACCAGTGACCAGGATGGCAGCATTGATTTGACGGTTGGCAACTCCCAGAAGGCGGCCGCTGTACCCACTGACCACAGTCAGATGGAGGCAGGAAAGGAGCACAATAAAGGACATCCCTCTTCTGAATCATTGGTTGAGAAAGAATTGGGTATTAACAAATTAGAGCTCTCTAGGAGATTTACACAGCCCCGTCAAGAAGGGAACAAGAGAAGCATCCTAGAAAGACTTGATTCCGATGTGCAAAAGTTGACAAACCTTCAAATTACTGTGGAAGACCTGAAGACAAAGGTGGAGATTACTGAGAAGAGCAAAAGGGGCAATAATGTGGAACTTGATAGCGTAAAGGGGCAGCTGGAAGAAGCCAAAGAGGCCATTACGAAGTTGTTTGATGCCAATCAAATGTTGATGAAGAGTGTTGAAGATGATCCTCCGTCCTCTGCTGGATCTTCTGGGGAAGTACCAGATGAAAGTGGGAGCGTGAGAAGGAGGAGACTTTCTGAACAAGCAAAAAGAGGGTCGGAAAACATTGGGCGGTTGCAGTTGCAGGTTCAGAAACTGCAGTTTCTTCTTCTGAAAATCGATGGCGAAAAAGACAGCAAAGGATCAGCTAGAATCATCGAGCGGAAGAAAAGCGTTCTTCTACGTGACTACCTCTATGGCGTGGGAAAACCCGTCAACCAAGGGAAACGGAAGAAATCGCCCTTCTGTGCATGCATACAGCCCCCAACCAAGGGAGATTAAAGCAATGAAATTTCATTAGTTTACGGTAAAATGATGAGGCACTAGTTTTGCCTCATTGTCCATAAGTTTTTTTTACTTTTTAGAGCTCTACTTGTTTTGCCATATTTTAGAGAGAGAGAGAGAGAGAGAGACGGAGAGAGAGTATTGGGTCTTGGATTAGTTTTGAGATCCTGCTGTACATTTCAGGCCCCATCTTCTATTCAAAGGAAACCCACTGATGGGGTTTGCCTTTTTTTTTTTTTTTTTTTATTCCCCATGTTTTTTTCTTTCTTCTTTTACATAAAGAGAACTAGCAGAGTGTATGAAAATAAAATCTTTTATTGAATCCTGTTGTTCGGTGTATACATTCTTTCTGCGTTACAAGTTCTTGTATAGATTCTAACATTCTCCAGAATCCGGCGAGATCCTTACATGAAACTGGGAGAGTATCCCCCTCGCCTTGTACCACTCGTCACGTGAATTGTTACACGACAGGGTTAGAGGGATATATGCTCAGTTTCACTCGAGTTTTGTCTGCGGCTCTACATGTTACTTGCAGTCTATGGTACAAACCGTAATACATGCTCAAGGGAAAAGGATCAAAGTGACAGCAGAAACAAGCTTTTCCTGACAAACAATGACACTGAAAAACCAGGCAAGAACAGATTCTGTAAGCCTAAACGCTTTAGTTTCTCCTTGAAAGGTACCTATAGGCAGCACCTGTTCGATGGAGGCTATAAACTTCCAACTTGAACTCGTTTAGACCAGACTTGGTTGAACAAGATTCAAATTGGTGTAGCAGTCTGCTTGCTGTGCTCCCGGTGTTTGATCAAGTTATCCCTCAATGTCCTCCCCAATGGATCAACTTGCTTGCAGCACTGTTCTCCATATCCTGAGTCATGATGGCCGCATAAAGCAACATCCGGGTCCAATATATCTCTACTGTCGATGATTATATTGTGAAGTAAACAACATACCAAGATAATGCTTGGAAGTTTTTGCTTGTCAGGTCTCCACATAACCTTGCTGAGGATTCTCCAAGTGCCCTTCAACTGTGAGAATGCCCTTACTGCAAGTGACCTTGCAGCCTCATGCATGGCGTTAAAAGCAGAAACGGAAGGCAGAAGGCCATTGCTTTCAAAAGTAGTTATGAGCCAAGGAAGCAGAGGATAGCTAGCCCCGCCAACTAAGTACTCTCTAATCTCTACTCCTCCAGATAAACTTCTAACATCTCCATTCAAACGCTGTCCACCTTCACAGAGCTTGTAAAACCCAGAACACTTCAACAGTCTAGACGCAGTCATTCCCCCAGGCCAACCAGTCACAATATCAAGAAATCTCATCTCGTGGTCAACAATTCCCTGCAAAAGCATGCTGTAGTTTTCCTCCGAGTCACACCAATCATCTGATGTTTGAACTGTAGGTAGGGTCATAATGATGTGAGTACCATCTCTGGCTCCACAGCAATTCGGCAATCCAAAGGATGCTTCAAATTCAGACTTAATCTCTTCCATTCTATTTGAATCAGGCCACTTGAGGTGGTGCTTCGCGCGCTCTTCCAATGCTTCAATGAATCTCCAAGTCACCTGAGAAACTGTGGACTGGCCGACCCCAAATGCAGCCCCCACTGAGACTTGAGACTCCCCGGATGCTAACCTTCTCATGGCGATTGCAACCTGTTTCTCAACACTGAGAAGCCTTCCTTCTATTTTGATGAGCCCTGATGGCGGCCTCGACACCAGGTCTTCTCTTACAAGTGAACAAATGTAATCGAAAGTCTTTTTCGAGACCCTGAAGAAAAACTTAAATCCTTCCTCCTCATCGTTGGATACTGAAGAACCTACACACGTGAATTCATCGGAAATGCAGAATAAAGTTGTTATCTCGGACACTTCAAAACCAAAATCAACTCTTAAAAATCTTTACTAAAATAGAAATCAACAATTTCCCTACTCCAGATTCCAAACCAAAATCTCTATTTTCCTGTCTAGCAATAAATTTACCACTGTACCACCCTCCTTTAAGACTGTCATATAAGTATTCAATAGCTAGTTCTCTTGTAACAGCCACCAGAAATTTACCACACTTGCATTTTTTGACAAGACGATATATATTCTAAACCACTCTAATTTACGCAGAAGTGGGCTAAAGCCCTTTAAGAATTTTTTTTTTTTTTTTTTTTTTTTTTTAGTACATCGATATTTTTACACTAAGGGAGCTAATTTTCTTGTAACGGCCACCAGAAATTACCACAACCACTTGCATTCTTTGACATGGCGATACGTATTCCAAACTACTCTAAATTTACGCAGATGTGGGCTAGAGCGGAATGTGCTCCCCTCATGCATTCAAGTTCGAATCCCCTTCCACACATCTTAGATTAGCATAAACTATAAAGTAGAATATCACTCGTATAAAAAAAAACTACTCTAATTTACGGGAGGGGAATCCGAAGACAATTGGACTAACCCACATCTGCATAACCAGGCGCATTTTCCGGCGCTGGTCTGAATTCTTACCATTTCAGTGATCAAATTCATGATGCTAGCTAACTTGAAAACCACATTTTACAGATTTTGAGCTGTAATTATGAATAAATTTACGGACTTTAACATTCTAGAACAAACTTTGAATAAAACCCACATCACTATTTCTCTTGGAATGCAACATTTTCCAGTTAAAAAAACACAGGAAATTAAGAGAGTAACTGAAGAGTGAGTGAGCTGAGTGAAAAGTAAAACCTGGATGGGTTGAAGAATTCTTGTGCCAGAAACTATCCCACCAATCCGAATCCACGGCTTTCGCCTCAGCCGGAACCACCACGCTCTTGCTTTTCCTCAATTTCCTGTCTTTCTTGCTTTTCTTTGATTTCTTCGGAGGCGCCATGAAAGGTAAAGCTCTGATGGTCTCAGAAAAGAAGTGTTTGGATGGGAGGAAAGTGATTGAAAGTTAATAAATTGGAACTGTTTTCTTCAGCTCCAACACATGCGTTTCCGACATTTGATGACTGAACCGATTTCGAGCTGGTGGTGTTTCTCCATATCTCGGTAGGAACAGAACGGACACGAATGTTGGTGACCAAATGTCTGTGGGCTGGTTCGACTGTGGATGAAATTTGGACATTTAGTTGGTCTTGAGTTAAAGCCTAAAAACAAGCCCAATAAATTTCTAACCCAAAATTTTGGTGTGAAAAATACAGTGCATTATCGAGGCTTCATCGGCATGAATTGGCTAGGCTTTGAATTCTAGTTCACTGTTTAGTGCAACACTATGATGGATTGCAATGGACTTAATCCATTTTTTCCTCGATTTTCTTCAATTTTCTAAGTAAATAATCAGTTAAGGCTAACTTTAGACCAAATTTTCAGTTAAAATCTGAGATTCAGAAAAATCAAAGTACTCATGTTTCAAATTCGAAGTAAGGAGGGAGAAGAGGGAATTACCTTGACCAAAAAAGAGAAAGTTGCAAAAAAGAGGAAAAGCAAATGATGAAATCAGCGAAAGGGAAGCCCAGAGAGCTCGAACAAGAGGGAAGCTCGACTGGCTTTGTAACCCACCTCGAGCGAGAGGTATGATTCTTGTCTTATTTTGCACTCACATCCTGGACCCAAATCAATCCATGTTACATTTTAGCGCATTAAACATGGGTTAGGTTACAAGTCCAATTTAAAAGACAATAACTTTTCCTAACCAGCCCACCAAACGGACCAAAATAAACCAAAACCAATTGTCGTTAGGAACGAAGAAACATACGTACCAAAAAAAGCTAACGATTTCATGTGTTTCCTTGTTTAGAGTGGGAAAAGTTTGAACTGTACTTAGAAGCAGAAACCCTAGCAGTTAATTTGGTTTCCTTCCTGCAACATCTGCATACTTCCAAAGCGACAATTGGAAAAGTCAAGATAAACGTAAATCCAATTGGAATGCAAAAACCAATTGTAACTGGGGAACATGGCAGCCTGAAAAAAGGTACGTTTAGTTTACTAGTATATAATGCTGCTGCTCCTCCCTCTGCCTGCATGCTACCATACTATTACTCACTTGCATTGTGATCTTCTATCTAGAGAGAGAAAGTGAGAGAGGGGAGAGAGAGAGAGAGAGAGAGATGGCGAACAAGAACATACTTGTTAGCTTTTTGATTTTGTGCCTCGCTTCATCTCAGTTTTTTGATATTGGACACAGCCGACCCACCCCAGTATCAACTGCATCATCAGCCAAAACCACGCCCGTTGCCATGCCAACTTTGCCGCTCATGCCAATTATTCCGACGCCCCCCATCAGTGGTACACCAACAACACCCGCCACGCGCTCCATTGCTACGACACCCCCGGCCGTCACGATTACACCAGTGACGCCATCCACACCCTCCATCGTAACGCCACCCGCGCCCACCGCGGATACACCAGTGACGCCCGCTGATCGTCCGATTGCTAGCTCACTGCAGCCGGCTGCAGATAGCCCTGAGACGCCCCATGCTCCCTCTATTGCTCCGCCACCGTCACCAACTCCACCAGAAACTGATGCCTTGCCATACCCATATAACGACATATTCGACTACTCAAACGGCGCAGCTAAACTGAATATCAGTCACTCTCTTATTTATCCATTGATTATGTATCTGTTTCATCAACTACTTTTTTCATTACACGGTTTTCTGTTTTCCTTTTTTTCTTTTTTTGAGGAAACTTTTTACTTTGTAAGCATAATAATAATCTATTTCTGAAGCCAACATGATCCTCTCCGGATCTTTTGGTGAGGATTCTGAGAATTTATGAATCGTGTTTGTTCATCGTACATCGTGTGATTTTTGTCAAGTACTGTTTATGTTTAATTTTAAATAAAAATATTTAAAATATTTTCTGACCTCACGATGTACAATGAACATATAAGATTAACGGATTTTCAGAATCCTCATAAAGAAAATCCGAGGATAATCCGGAATAATTTTGAAGCTAGCTTGGCAACAATGTGATTAGAATAATTTTGAAGCTATGCAACAATGTGATGATCTTAGAATCATGCAATATTCTTGTAAAGTTGTAATTGAGCTTAATAGTTTTCTTTAATTTTTGTTGGGAGTGTAAATTAGACGTCTGAAAGTTAAGAATTAATACAGTAAATAAATAATAAAAAGCATATACAGAATCAGAACAAGGTGTAAGAGCTAGCTTTATTTGTATATTTAAACAGTTATGACACTCCAAACATGACGCTATAAGTTAAAGGAAAGTGTTATTGGCACTTCAAAAATCTCATTCTACATTCCTTACAAATGTATTTTTCTTTTCAAATATAGAAAGTTTGGAGTGTAGAATGATATTTTTGGAATGTCAATAACAATTCCTAAGTTAAAAATATTATAGATTGTACCTAGAGCTCACCTCTTCAAACGGAGTAGGATTCTCTCTCATCCTATTACCATTCTCTTCTACCCCCTCCTCTCACACTCTTCCTTTTGTCTTATTCTCTATATAAAAAATTCAAAACAAGATGTAGACGTGGCGTAATCGCAACCGTTTAAATAGAAGGGGATGAAAGGGGAGAGGTATTAGGAGGGAAGAGAATCCTACTCCCTAAACATGCTTATTGCACTTGTGTCTCTGTTTCCAACAGCTGCAAAGGGATCAATTTTGCATGAGGATCCTCTATGTGGGAATCCTATGAATTCTCATATCATGATCGTTCATCGTACATTGTGCAGTCAGTTTTCATTAGGTATTATTTGTGTTTAATCTTAAATAAAATAATTTAAAATAATTTATGACCTCATGTACAATAAACGACAAGAATGTGAAGATCCTTAGGATACCCATAATTTAGATCCGAAAGAGATCCAAATCCTTCAATTTTAGGGTGATTAATACTGCTCATTAGATGGTGTCCCAATATTTTCTTTGAGGAATTTATTAGTGCGCTGCTATTATTCATTACCAAAATAACATATAGTAAGCTACTTTCCCCTGTTTAGATTTTATCCTATCTTCCTTATCATTAATCCACCTTGCAATCCCGAAAACACATGTAGCACTTTGTGTTATAGATTAGACTTATTGTTATAGATATAATGTTAAAGTGTAATTGTGTAAATCATAATATTAGATTTGAATTCCTTACTATAAATAAAAGTATTGTGTACAAAATAACACACAACCTTACACATCCTACAAACGCATCTCTCTTTACTCTCTCTTTCTCACGCACATCTCTCCCCCTTGTCAAATTAAATAAGCCACAACATATATATATATAGAGAGAGAGAGAGAGAGGGTAGGATTCTCTCCCCTTTTTTTCCCTCTCATTCCTCTCTTTCTATTTAAACGGTCACGATTAAACCACGTTAACATCTTATATTAATTTTTTTATAAAATAAGAACGACAAAATAGAGAATGTGAGAGGAGGGGATGGAAAGAGGAGAGAAGATATTCCTAATGAGAGAGAGAGAGAGAGAGAGAGAGAGAGAGTATAGGAAGGGTCTTACTCCTTCGTTCCAACAATTATTAATGCCATTAAGGAGATAATATTCTTTAAGCCTAGCTCAATCAATCAAGACCCATCACAATGATAATCCTACAATCAAGGGATAATGTTGATTTCTTTAATTGTAACTTGAGGGTTGATTTGATATGAAAGTAGGGACTCATTTAGGAAGTAGTGTTTTTAAATTCTTGAAACCGTTTCTAGAGAAAAAAAATTGGATTCCAAAAGCATTTGAAGTGCTTCTTGCAATAAGCATCGGTTGTGTGCTTGTGCTTTTTCAAGATTAACTTGCATTTTTACCAAGTATTGGTTTCAAAAATATTTTTGTAAAAGCATTTTCAGTCTAAAAGCTTGCTGTTAAATTCAGTGAAGAAATCTTTGGTTTTAGCAAGGAGAAATTGACAAAACACACAGAATTTTCAGCGTTGCTGCTACCGCGGTGAAGATTTCATTGATTCATTTCACATTGGATTCCTCCGTTGGTGTAGGACAAGCTTATAAACGAGCTGTCCAAAACACTAACAGCTGTTAATTCAATCTAATCCTTACATCACCTATCGGGCCATCGTCGGCATTTACGGAGACGCCGAGCTCCCGAAGATGCTGAATAAAATCTCGCCACGCCTTGCCCTCCGGACGATTAATCAATGAGACCTATTTTGTATTTAAAAGGAAAACAAGCCGTTAGACTCTTAGGCTTCCTTGCTGGCTAATCCAAAATCAAGAGCCCAAAATTCATATGGTTCCAATACTTGCATGAAATCATTATCGTCAGACTTATTTCAACAATCACGTATAAATGTTCCAATTTTATCAGATGCTCCCGAAGGGACAACAATAAAGTCATCTCTAATCGAATGAAGGTCAAATGACTCATTTTAACCTTATAGCTTTCTAATAAATTAATATTTTAATGAACAGTATCATGCTATATTTTTTTTTCATCTCCAACCGAAGAGCCAGAGGGTCATAGGCCAAACATAGGCCTGTGACAAAAAAACTGTCTCCAATAGAGGGGACCAAAGGACCATAAAGCCAAATATAATTTATTATTTAAATTTAAAAATTACAACAACTTAAATTTAAAGACTACAATATAAATTTAAAAACTACAGTTTAAATTTAAAAACTATGAAGCGTTTGATGCAGTGTCAGATTAGCACTAAATTTTAATTTTTTAGATTTAATTATAAAAACTAAATTTCACATTCTGATCTACATAATTAGATTTAGATCTCCTCCAAATTCGTTTTTCTTTTACTTTTTAAATTAATGAACTTCAAGATAATCATGGTAATTCTAATATATTACAAAATAATAATAATAATAAAGTTCATCAATTTCCCTTCTTCACGCCTCTCCATCTCTCTTCATCTCTCTTCATCTGCCATAGCCTGGTTAATCCCATCATCATCCCAATTATGAAAACACATAGTTGCAGACCTATTTTCTCCTAGCGATCTGAAGATTCGAAGCAAACCACAACGCCCACCCTCCTCCTCCATCCACGATTTAGCAACCCCGATCTGCAATTTCCGTATCAATCTCGTAGAGAGAAAGGGGATACTTGTTCTGGATGAAGCTCACTCAATGATCGATGGCTTTGATAAAGAACAATACCTGGCTCTCACCAGTTCACTCGAATGAGGCGTCGTAGTGAGAGAAGAAGGCCATCGGGCCAGCCGCTGGTCTGATTGGCTAGTTTTGGGGCCCACAAGTTCTTTGGCTGGAGATGATCAGCCTGCTGATCTGATTGGCTGGTTTTGGTCCTATAAGGTTCATAAGTTTTTTTGTCTAGTCCTTGTTAGAGACGGTTTTTGTGTCATTTCGAGTTATTTTCAGCCCTATGGCCCTTTAGACGGATTGGTTGAAGATGGCCTAACATATAAATGGACTATTCTTATTAATTCAGGCTCACAAAAATGAATCTATGTAAAGTTTTGTTTCGTTATGAGATTTACAATATTAAAGACGAGAGATGGAAAAAAATTAACGCTTCCAACTTCCCACTAATTAAGCAACCAAGAACATAAAACGATGAGTCTAATTTCTCATTTCAATGAGTCCTCATCATATTTTACGTACACTTCATATTGCTTTATGTGATACATAGTTCTAGCCATGCAACTCAGACGTTATTCCATGCGCCGGGTTCTTGATCTTTAATTGGGTCGGGTTTGGTGGTGTGAAGCATTAAATTGCATGCTGCAACTGCCTCTGCAACTGTGAGACAAATCCATTGCTGACCTATTCTCTCGATCAACTCCGACTTGTTCATCTTCTTCATCACCTCACCTCCGGGGTTCGCCAATACAAGCTGATTGCATAAAACGAAACACAGTGTCAGATTTAGTGTTCTTTGTATATTAAAACTATTATTGATAATTTAATAAAAAGAGTCACGATAAGAGAACATAGACTATACCTGAAGTCCCCTTCTATCAATTAGCTTCTTAACTTCGTCAAACATGCTAATTCCGCTTGTGTCTATGTTACCAACCGCTGCAAGGAATCAATTACAGGGTGATTAGTACCATAATTTACCATTATTTTCTTTAAGGGAATTGATTAATACATGAATATTTTTTAATAATTTCCCTTACCACTCATATCCAATATCACATATTGTAAGCTACTTTCTCCTGCAGATTTTATCCTATCTTCCTCGTCATTAATCCACCTTATAATCCTGAAAAAATATAGCAGTTTAGGCCAACATCAAGCTTTAATTTCCTATTAATTACATGTAACACTGTTACTTATCAGTTGTAAATTTTAAGTACCTTTCTCTTAAGTAGTTGGTATTTGCAAAGTAAATGGGAGCATCAATCTCAAGTATCAAAATTCCAGGAATATTGCTTGCACTTTGGTACTGGTCAACATTTCTGTAATCCGTGGAATTCGGAAGGTTTCCAAGAACAAGAGTCCTAGGCCTTGCCACAAACAAAAGCACCCTCATCACAGATATTGCTACCTGCATAAAGAAGTCAAACCATCGTAAGTTATTGACCTGTTGTTACCGTAACACACGATAATTTTTCATTAGCACAGTGTAATTTCAGTGTGACAT